CACCAAGTGATGGCGAGAGGAAAAAAAACTAGACAGTATACATTACATTTGAAATTAATAATGGATGAATGGTAATAAATTGGTGTATGTTTGTAAGTATACGAGACAAAGTCCATTTAATGGCAGAATTTAGCCATTTTGTGTAAAAACTTTTATATCTCATATTATTAATTATAACAGTAATCGAAAAAGTCATAGTTTGTATATACAAGAGATGAAACAGAGAGCCATGAGCTAGAGCGATGTGCTGAGTCCATAAGGAGGCCGAACTTCCAGAAATACCTTCCTGTGATTGGCTGTTGCGGGGAATACCAACACTCTTTTATGAATAAAATTTAAACTAAGAAATAGGTCCTTGTGCACAACAACAAGGTTGTTGTGAAAAAGAACAACAATTTCTGTTTTGCACCTGACAGAAATCTCCATCTACTGCAGTATGGACATTATCCTGCAGTATGGACATTATCACTATATTAATACTTTTAAATACTTAACATTTCACTTTTTAGGTAGATTAAAGTTGAAGCAGAATGGCATAAGCAAGGATGATGTGCTGAATAAAGATGATTTATTAAGTGGATGGAGCCTTTAGCTGATCCCTTCCTGTGATTGGCTGTTGTGTGAATGTCAACAAAGAATATCTACCAATGATATGCCATTTATTATGCACCCCATACCTCTTGTGGGCGGAGCTTGGAACCTCCTACCCGAGCACAACAACCCGCCTTATGCGTTGCTGTTTGGCTATTTTTAGTGCGTTGGAAAAAAAAGAGATGGCGCTAGTTGTATTTTGTGGGGTAATTTGTTATAAGTGTAATTTGATGTCAACAGATGGCGTAAGCTGTATCTTATGGCCACTGTTGACCTGCCAGTTGATAGTGCAGTTAAAGCAGGAAACTCTGTATATAGTTGGAGGCTCTCAAATGGGTGTTCGACTTTACAGACTGAGATGCTAGCCATTCAAAAGGCTTTGGAACATGCTCTTGCTGAACACCGCCAACATGTTATCATCCATACAGATTCGAGAACCGCCATTGAAACCTTGCAACAAGAACACATATGTGATAACATCCATCTGATCACAAATGTCTTATCATTCATGCACACACTCCACCGACAAGGCCGACGGGTACTTATCAACTGGGTGCCAAGTCATGTGGGTCTAATAGGAAATGACATTGCAGACGAAGCTGCAAAACTTGCTACTAAGAGGAGAAATGTAGACATTTACGTACCACAGAGTCTATCTCAGATGAAGAAAGTAATTCGAAACAGAGCAATGCGAAAGATGTACAGTGACCACACCACAGCAGTTGCAACATCAGGATCTGCGGGTTGGTACAAGAATTCAACCAACTACGAACCACTTAGTTTGATGAACGGAGGCAGTAGAACAACAGAAGTGCACTTACATCGCATCAGGCTTGGATACCCTTGTGCATGGGAAATAGGCTTACAGGTTCCGGAAGATGAGAGGAAATGTCAACACTGTGGAGAAATGCCCGACAGACCACTGGAACATTATCTAACACAGTGCACAGTTACAAACCCGTTAAGATTTCAACTTAGATTCAACAGAGCAGAGGAAGTTGTTAAACACATAGGGCAAAATCTTACTGAAGCGACTATACGAGTCATAAATACTCATACTCCGCCCAGGTAAAACAGAAACAAGCAACACTTAGTGGGCCAGCCAGAGGCTTAGGGCCCGCGCAGGATTATCCCTGCTAAAAAGAAAAAAAAAAGAAAAAAAAAAAGTTGATAGTGTTCTTATCTGCCGACAGATGGCATCAGCTGTATTATTATTATTTTAATAATATTATTACATTAATAATAATGTATTATTATTACTTTAAACACTGATATATAAGTCTGGTAGCTTATAATAAGGTTTTAAACCAAGCTGGTCTTAGGTAACTAGAATTCTGCAATTACTTTTTTTTCTACTGTTGAGGATATGTAAGACAAATGTAAGGTTTTGAGGCTAAGTAACGAAGATAGTTACAAGATACGAGCCAGATGGTGTTGAGATTGCAAAAGGGATTATGATAAGAACTTAAGCAAAAAAATCAATGCATAAATGTTCGCAAATATGAGACTGGGATTTATTTCTCGAAAAGTTAGCAATAAAATACGCTTTCTGGTTCTTTATTTTTAAAATTAAGACCAGGGATTCTGTCTAACGAAGCTGCAAGCTAAAACACCGTTATCCTATAATGTTCATCTATAGCTTGACCCTAAATACTCGTTTATTAAACGAATTTATTGTTAGAGTTCATTAGGAATCAACTTTGTTGAAGGCCGAGCTTCCAGCAAATACCTTCCTGTGATTGGCTGTTGCGGGGAATGCCAACGCTTATATGAATAAAATGCAAAATAAGAAATACGTCGTTTTGCTCATTAACCTTATTGTTGAACAAAAGAACAATAATTTCTGTTTTATACATGACAGTAATTTCCATTTAACTGAATAATGTAGACCAATAAGAGGGCGGATCAGGCATTGTATCGCCGATATTATTTGTGTGAGGCAACACCCACTGATGACGTCACAAGTTAGGTAGCCAGCAAAGTGTTTCTGTAACACTCGTTACATTCTGCAGTGTTTAATTATCACTATATTAATACTTTTAAATACTTAACATTTCACTTTTTAGGTAGATTAAAGTTGAAGCAAAATGTCATAAGCAAGGATGGTGTGCTGAATAAAGATGATTTATTAAGTGGATGGAGCCTTTAGCTGATCCCTTCCTGTGATTGGCTGTTGTGTGAATGTCAACAAAGAATCCCATACCTCTTGTGGGCGGAGCTTGGAACCTCCTACCCGAGCACAACAACCCGTCTTATGGGTTGCTGTTTGGCTATTTGTAGTGCGTTGGAAAAAACAGAGATGGCGTTAGTAGTATTTTGTGGGGTAATTTGTTATAAGTGTAATTTGATGTCAACAGATGGCGTAAGCTGTACCTTATGGCCACTGTTGACCAGCCAGTTGATAGTGTTCTCTTCTGCCGACAGATGGCATCAGCTGTGTTATTATTACTTCCGAATTGCTTATGATAAGGTTTTATACCATTTATGATAAGTATTAGATAACTGGAGTTCGGCAATTACTTTTATTTATCAACTGTTTAGGATATCATCATATTATGTCTGGTTAGGCCGTACTGCTCTCGATTGATGAAGATTAAGCCACCCAAGAGGTGGCACGGGCATGAATAGCCCGTAAATACTGCTCTCGTAATATTATTCAGGGGGGTGGAGAACTATCAAGTGAAAGCGCCAAACCATTACGACCATATAGCACTCGGAAGGGATCAGGATACGGATTTAGGATGGAACGGGGGAAAGGACCTCCCTCTTGGGAGGTCGGGGATTGAACGCGGACCTGTAGGAAACGAGACCGTCGCTCTACCGTCCAGCCCAAGTGGTTAAGCGTAATATTATTAAAACAACAATTTATGCATATAATAACAGAATTTCACACTAAAAATACTTGGATATATTGAAATTTGGTAGTGAATTCCAATCTAGGAATCTCCTATGACTAAACTGTACTTTTTAATCATTTTTATGTACTTACTACTTATTATTAAATTATTAAGTACTTACTATAATAATTAAATAAATTATTTTATTTAATATTTAAATTAAATGATAAAATATTAGGTAATAATAAATCATTGTGTAGGGGGACAGGCAGCCAGTGTATATATATATATGTTGGGTTATACCAAGGTGCCACAAAGGTGCCACAAAGGTGCCAAATTAAAGACTGGGTGCTGCCGGGGCGGGCCCAAGGGCTGCTGGCGGCCCTGGCCAGGCTGAACTTCCGCGCCCTTATAATCACCATTGTTTAATAATCTTCACAGGGAGAAACAACTGTAAATATAGGAATAGTTTATTACAACATACACGGTAAAGAAAACAGCTCGGAAACTAAGGAAATAAAGCTGCCGAAAAAAACATTAAAGTCCACTTCAAGTTCAAGTATGTTTATTGAGACAATAAAAAAATACGGCACGGGCATGAATAGCCCGTAAGACCTATACTCTGTAGCCTCCTCATATATAACATGGTAGCAGCACACTGCTGTGGACACGAGACACACAGCACCGCTCCTGTGCCAGGTAAGTCCACTACGGGCTCACCATAGCCGGTGCTACTTGCCCCGCTCCTGTGCCAGGTAAGCTACGGGCTCACCATAGCCCGTGCTACTTGGAACTTGTTCCGAGTAGCTAAATCTATAACAACACTGCTGTGTACCTCACGTTATACGTATGAAACTAAGAACAAAATCTGCTGTTAATTACTTTATTTTCTGTCATTTCTTTTTTATTAACACGCTTAGGAATAGACTTTTTTTATTGGCATTCCAGTTTTGTCAAGAGAGGAAATAAATCTTTATCGGGATAGCTATCTCTTTGGTTTAGAAACTTGTTTAGGAAATTATACCTTCTTTTTGGTTAAATTTCGACAAGCCGCCGGCTTCCTGTCCTCGTCGAGGCCACTAGTGTTGGTGGTCCTCAGGTAATATCATTGAAGATAGAGAGTATCTTTGTCTATTTGTGAGATAGACATTAATTATATATTTAGTATTCGAAAAATTGTAATGAATCACTTGTTAATAATGAACTGTATTGTTCACTAATCTTTTAATACGAATTTAAATATACTTTCTAAATTTACAATATAGATCAAAACTTCATGTAACTCAGTTCGAAGCTACCCAACTACTTGGATTGGACGGTAGAGCGACGGTCTCGCTTCATGCAGGTCGGCGTTCAATCCCCGACCGTCCAAGTGGTTAGGCACCATTTCTTTCTCCCCGTCCCACCCCAAATCCTTATCCTGACCCCTTCCCAGTGCTAGATAGTCGTAATGGCTTGGCGCTTTTCCTTGGTATTTCCCTCCCTCTCTCAATTCGAAGCTCATCGCTTGCTTCGATGAATATACTTAAAAACTGTTTGTTATTGATTACAATTACTGAAATAATCTATAAATTGTGTCAATTTGACAAAATATTTCAGTGAGAGATATTTTCCTGCCGAGCATTATTTGTGGTTGATAACGTGACGACTCTGGACCATAACACAACGATGGCTGCTGCCTTGCGTCCGAGGGCTGCTCAAGCCCTTCGTGTGGTCCTCAACGGGTATGTGCTTAGGGGGAGTTATCTTGCAGAATATTACAGATAGTTTCAACATGAAAGTTTACATTAATTTAGTTTAGGCCTCAAGGGTGTAGATCATGGTTAATATATCGTTAAAATAGGAACTTGTGCCTTGCTTTTTCCAAGCACCCGGTGAAGCCTTAGCAGTACATTAAATATTTTTTTTTTGCACTATGCGTGAAAGGATAACTTAATTGATATTGCAGAAAGGATATAAATAAACTATTAGCATTACTTTCTATATGTCTGGGTTTTCAAATTAATAAAGGTTAGAGTTCCGTTAGTGTTCCGTTAGTAATAAAGGTTAATTAATAAAGGTTATAAGCATTTGTGATTTAATCCCATTTCAATAAGTGATCTGTTAAGTGTATCGTTGGTGTCTGTAGCACATACTAATCTAAGGACTCTGACTTAATGTTGATGTAGGTATATGTTGGGTTTTTTTTTGCCAGGTCAAGCTCGTTCATTAAAGCTACTCTGATTATCTAGAATCTATTATCAGGATAATGGTTTCCAGTAGCAAATTCTTTCTGTAACATAAAGGTCTCTAGACTATTGCAGTTTCACTGTACGTATATGCCTTTACATTTAAAAGGCATTGCTTATGTCTTATTCAAGCAGCTATATACTCTGCTTTGATAATGAATGATGAAATTTCACAAAATCATATTTTTATAGAGGCATGTACATATGTAATCAGTATTTTAAGTTAAAATTACAATATTTGTAAAGATTTTGCCTTTAACTGCATGCATATTGACAGTTATTACATTTGCAGTATCATAAGTTAGTGGGTTTTATTATTACAAAAATTTGCTGGACTAGGCTGTTATTTTTGTTTTGTTTTCAGATATGGATTTCGACCTTGGCATCAAACCCGAGCATTTTGTAAGATTCCTCCAGATGATGCCAAACCAGTGGAGGAGATACAGAAATCTCAAACAGAAAAGCAACAAGAACAGACAGGAGACATAAATAAAACTGCATTGAGGACTGAAGAATCTCTGAATGAAGGAAAGCTGGAGATTGCACAGAGTTCTGAGAAGCTTCTCACAGAAGTGAAGCAAGATCGGTCGTTACATAAAATGGTGTCCTCTACGATAGATAAAGACCATTCTCAGGATAACAAACAAGATGCCACACAAAAAATGGAGGTGCCTTACGAAGAAGACAAAATTGACCACTCAGTAGACACGATTGCCACAGGGCAAAAGATTGAAGAAGCTTTGACTGGAGTGAAACAAGAGACCAAGGACGAGATATTACCACAAAAGGGTGAGAAGGTTGTTACTGAAAAGGGACAGATAGCAGCCCAAGTTAGTGAAGAGTCAATTGTTGAAAAGAAAGAAGAGAATGTAGTTGATAAAGGCACAGCTGCCAAGAAAAAGCTTAATGATCTTCTCACATCACTAGCTACAGTAAGGATTAGATTTTGTTTCTCATAATAACAGTAGGTATAATGTCTCTAGATTATATTGACTCAAGTGACTTCTTGGATGTATGTATGTCATTTTATTCCTGCATCAGAGTTAGCAACACCATCATTAAAAGTGAAGTATAGTAAATTAATAAATTTCTGATGATCTAAAAATGAAAAAATTGCACAAAACACATTTTGTTTAATTCTAGGCATAAGAATTGAATATTTTGAAAGTACTTTTATATTTTTTACCATTCTTATGACAGTGACCTCAATTGATCTGTTTTACCTTTGTACTGTACTTAATAACTAACTACTGTACTGTGATTTGATTAAAATTTTGTGTACACAGTATTACTTAAACTTTTTCATTAATAATTGAATTTTAAATTTTTTATGACTAAATCTGTGTGCCTTCTGTATGTTTATGGAAGTTGAATTATGAATAATTTATAATCTCTTTCAGGCAGAGATCATACCAGTGGAGCCCACGTTGAAACTGTCTAGACCTAAAGCTCGACAGAAGAAAAAGGACAAGAGTAAAGAGCCTGCTCAGGCAGCTGATCCTCTCATTGGTAAATAACATCTGTACTTCTGTTATCTAACTGTTAAATTATGCAGATGCATTTCTTTGTAGATTGTTAAATGTACAAATACATTCCTTTCATGGTTATGTGACTTACGGTTTCATTTAGAAACTGAAAAACTTGTGCAAAATACAGTAATCTAGTTAACGATATTGTCCTCCAGTACATTTTCTCGATTTGCCACTGTTTAAAAATACATCTGATTTGCCTAACCAGAAATGTACGAAACCAAAAAACCCACTTAACAAATTGAGGCTGGTGCATAGGAAATATTAATATTAAAATGCTTTAATTTTTACTAATACAGCCTGTACTGTATATTGCATTTTGAATGGATTGGTCGAGTCTGTACAAAATGTGACGCATTGGGTGAGAGACCAGGTTGTTTTATCAGCTTGGATTACAAGTAAAGTACGTGCTGCTGATTTGTAGTCAATATAATACTGTCTTAACAGTATAAATCCTCTTTCTGTGTTGGCCTTTCTTTTTTTTCCCTTGTAATGTATTTTAATACTGTAATTAGCTGAAAATGCTTTTTATTTGTTACAGTTGTAGCCAATTTAACAATAATAGATACAGTATTAAATACCTCTAAAACAACTGTTTGTTTTCTACTAAATTTATTCACAATACTATAGACCACATAATAAAATGCTAATCAGTTATCCTCACTTTCTGGTGGCAGTTTTAAATTAAGAAGAGCAAATTGAATTTCCTTTCTCTTCACACAAATGATTCCTTTGGTCACATTTCATACATCAGTACCTCTTGCCACCGTTTCATGCATTCATCTTTCTTTCGAGCAACACAACTTTTGGGTGGGATTGCCAACTCTAGTGAGCTGAAAGGCAATTGATTGTGCTTTGTGAAGCCTCTAGTGTGACAAAAAGGATAGAAGAGAGGCTAAGATTACTCTATTCAGTAGGGATTTGCCTCATAGTCATGTTTAACCAATGTGTCTATAAAGCACAAAATCCCCACCTTTGTGGATTTTGGGGTAAATAATAGGGAAGAAGATTTACTGTTTCAATGTGTTTCATTTGGTCTTGTCATCTGTGCCATATGTTCCCACTGGACTATAACGTGATCTTAATAATGTGCGAATTATCACTATATCTGTGGGAGCAGCAGCAGAAGTTTGTTCAGGCAGAGACTTTTTACAAACTCAAGGCATTATTTTGTTATTATTTTATGTATTAAATTTTTTTTGTGGAATGCCTCATAATTTACTAGAAAAGATGTGATGACCAAACCACACATCAGAAAATGGAGAAACGACGACGTATAGGTCCGTCCTGGGCCATTGTCAAGTCCTCACACGACTTGATGATGGTCCAGGACGGACTGATATGTTGTCGTTTCTCCATTTTCTGATGTGTGGTTTGGTCATCATATCTTCAGCCATGTTACTGTGTCTTAGTTCTCACTTGCTGCCTTATTCAAGAATCTGACAAAATTTTGAACCATGCTGTAAAAGTTCTAAAATTTTACTCATGTACTGTACTTTTGTAGGATCTGAGCTGCTCTCTGCAACCAAAGAAGTGGCAGAAAATCTGGGTGGTGACACAAAGGCCACCGAGTCTGAGTTGCTGTCTGCTCTGAGATCGCACGCTGCAAATGAATTGCCTGATGAAAAACCAGTTGCTCTGAGGTAATTTTGTATTTATTTGCCCTCTATTTTGTATGATGAAAGTAAAAGTTTTGTGGAAAAATTAGTTAAGCCAAGAAAACCCAGATTTAATGAAGAGATTATGAGAACATTTAACCCCTCAAAGTGTGGATATTGTCTAGTGTTAATTGTCTAGTGAAATGTGGTCGTCATCATGAGATGATTGATTTGTCAGTGTTTGAAAACCAATGTTGACCATATGGTTGTAATAGGTTAATGAAGTCTCCCAGTAGTCATGGGAGGCTTGCAAACTGACTTGGAGTCGGACATAATTCAACTCCTGGTCTCTTCCCATTACTTGATAACTGTGGCATTTACCTTATATTCTACCCAAATACCACTAATCTCCACAAAGAAAATATACTAACTTTAATAAATAAAGAATTATGAAAATAAAGATGTAAAAATACTTTTGAAATACACATGGTAATCAAAATAGAATGTCATATGTTCTCATTTGTCATTCCTCAGCTATTTTGTCGAGTTTATTACCATATATCTTTCTTGACACCTATGACCATCACTTAATCAAGAGCAATTGTATAATTTTTTGAGGATGACACCAAGTAGGTCTATAATTTTGTTCTGCTCAAATATTATTGAGTTGGTCTGTTTAGCACTCTGACCTATTTCATACAAAATGGTCTGCCATTTCACCCAGTTTCTTCAATTGGTTTTTGTAACTTTATAATAATTAAACAATCCTGCATATTTATCAGTAACATATCAATATATTGTAGTATAATTTTAGATCTTTAGATATTCATTTTTCTATTTTAATTTGTTGGTTTTTTGATAATAGAAAAATAAGAATATTTTTACGGACAAAGAAATCTAGTTGGTATTTTACCTACTTGAGCTGTTTGATGGGATTCTGGGAGTTCTTCTACTCCCCAAGCCTGGCCCGAGGCCAGGCTTGACTTGTGAGAACTTGGTCCAACAAGCTGATGCTTGGAGAGGCCCACAGGCCCACATATCCAGCACTTCTTGAAGAAAACTATCTAGTTTTTTCTTGAAGATGGCCATGGTTGTTCTGGCAATATTTCTTATATTTGCTCGGGGTATGTTGAACAACTGTGGACCTCTGATGTTTATACAGTGTTCTTCGATTGTGCCTGTGACACCCCTGCTCTTCACTGGCTCTATTCTTCATTTTCTTCCATATCATTTACTCCAGTATGTTTTTATTTTACTGTGTAGATTTGGGACCTGACCCTCCAGTATTTTCCACATTTATATTATTTGTTATCTCATCTCCTTTCTAGTGAGTATATTTGGAGAGCTTTGAGACGATCCCAATAATTTAGGTGTTTTATCGTGCCTATGTATGCTGAATATTTTCTGTATTCCATCTATTTCAGCAATCTCTCCTGCTCTGAAGGGGGAAGTAAATACTGAGCAATATTCAAGACAGGACAGCACAAGTGATTTGAATAGTACAACAGGTGTGAGGGATTCCTGGATTTGAAAGTTCTCGTAATCCATGCTATCATTTTTCTGGCTGATGCAATATTTGCTTGGTTATACTCCCTAAGTGTTAGATCATCAGACATCATTATTCCAAGATCCCTTACATGTTGTTTCTTACTATGGGCAGATGTGATTGTGTTTTGTACCCTGTATTATGATTAAGGTCCTCATTTTTACTGTACCTGAGTACCTGGAATTTATCACTGTTAAACATGTTATTTTCTGCTGCCCAGTCAAAAAACTTTATTATCTGCTTGTAGTTTTCGATGTCTTCAGCAGAGGTAATTTTCATGCCGATTTTTGTGTCATCTGCAAAGGATGATATGAAGCTGAGACTTGTATTTTTGTCTATATGTATCTGATATAAGAATATGGAAAAGTAGTGGTGCAAGTACTATACCTTGAGGTACAGAGCTTTTAACTACACTTGGACTTGATTTTATTTGATTGACTATTACTCTGTGTTCTGTTTGACAGAAAATTGAGTATCCACCTCAGTACTCAGTATTCAGTACTCGATATTACTCAGTTTGTCAACATTCAGAAGAGTGATGAGGACACTAGAGATGATTTGAAGTATTTAAGGGTTATGCTCATTTTTGAGGCCTGTAGATCCTATTGTTCTAAATGCTGATTTATATTGCATTCATCAGCTTAACACCAACTTAACACAATTCTATTCCTTTCCATGCCTCTTAGTGATTTGCTTGTGGGTATGAAAGTCGAAAGAAAGCAGAGCAAGTCAGTACGAGAATTTCCTCGTCCTAAGCGTTACGATCGAGAGCACGAGGCTTCCCAGAGAGGTTCGAGAGATGGAGCACAGGACCAAAGAAGGTGGCAAAGGACTACGAGTAAATCTGAACCCAGGTTAGTCTTTTAAAAGTTAATATTCTTTTTCTTAGCACCTGTTGTGCCTCTAGTCTCGAGAATTCTGTAAGGTTATTTACAGTATTAGAATATTGTGTATTAAATACTGGTACGGTTTTTCCAGCACATAAGATGCACATAATTTACTAGGTTTATTTTTTTTTAGTATGCTTCATTATACATTTATTGAAAGTGATTTTCAAGTTGTTTTGTGTGGAAAACATATGATTTTTGTGCATATAAGCACAGTATATAATCAGACCATGAGGCAAAAACATGCATCCTCTCCACTGGCAAAGTCAGTAACTTGGCTGCTTAAAGTCTTTGAAGCTTGGGAAATGTAAATTCCTGTCACTTACCAGATGCAGAAATTCTTACTTAATTTTTGTTAGTAAACCATAAAAATGACAGTGTTCATAACAATTAATTTTGCATCTTGTATGTTATTTTATTAATTTTGAAATAATCAAGAATCTAAAATCTTTAATTTCTTTTAGGGGGGGGGGGCAGATTTTTGGATTATTTTATGTGGTTTACCACCCTTCACACTGGCTGGGCATTTGTGGCACAGGTCTACTTTCTTATTCTTTAGTTTACTTTGTTTGGCAACTTGATTTATTTGTAAAGTCATATTATATAGTACAGTATAAAGAAATATGCAAAGTGCTCAAAAGCATGTACTGTATTTTATTGATTATCTAAACATGTAAGGCAGATAAGGTCACATTTTATGTCACTGGCCACTTAAGACAGCTGTTGGCATTCAAAATAAAATAAAAAACAGAAAAACGATACTTTAATCATTTTTCTGGAGAAAATCTATAGAATGAATTAAAAAGAGGAGGTATTGATCCATGTAAGGACACCAGAATCTAAGTTGCCTCTCAAGGAGTCGCCGATTTTGACATTGTTGCAGCTGTGTAGCTTTTCATATCTCGGCTGTTGTGCCGAGATACTGTAATTGCAAAATTCGGGACCACAGGTACTGTACTGGAGCATACCTGGAGAGGGTTCTGGGAGTTCTTCTACTCCCTGAGCCCGGCCTCGACTTATACTGTATGTACAATTTGATTGTTGCTGCCAGAGGCAGCTAGTTTATTGTGCACCCCATACTCATCCTGTGAGCGGTAGCGCAAAAAGCATTACAGAGGGCACAAAAGGTCTTTATCAGACCTCATCTTAGATTATTACATAAACAATTTCATCTATCCTTCACACGTTATAGTTACAATGTCAGCTAATTACAGAGAAAGTGCTATCTCAAGAGCTATATATTTACAATAAGTCATTATACATTAATGGTAGGTCTTGTCGCTAATACATAATAGTTTGACCAATGGAGATATTACAGAGCTTCTGTTTTGTCGTAGAGCAGCTTCCTCTAGGAGCTAGAGCTTCTACTCTATCCTAGAGTAGAGGAGCTTCTGTTTATTATTAGTCCTCACAATACACTACTTGTTTCTTAATCTCATATGTCGTTTATCTACTGGAAGCGAAATGTATATACAGTGAAAGGATTTCAGGTAATTTATCCATGGTAATAAGATAGGTTGCCATATCATACAGAGTGAGCTTAGATTTGTCTCTAAATGGCTCAATTTTATTACAATCCAAGATATAGTGTTCGAGTGTGTGTTCCTGTCTTTGTCCACACACTTTACACTTTACTTCATCTAGATCCCAATACAAGCCAAACTGCCAGAGATACTTGTGTAGCCAAGTCTTATACGAGCTGTGACATCTGTTAGTCTACTGACTTTGTTACTTGCCCCATACACATGTTTTACTTCACACATTTCATTGTGATGAACAATGGACCTGCTAGTTCTATTTGGCACTGTTCTACTTTCTTCAAATTCATCCAGGAATTTTCGTCTAATGACACTTTTAACTGTAATAACTTTACATACTGTATGTACAAGAGATGTTCAGTCCCTTGGTTGAATGAGAAATGTATTGCAGCTTGCTGTGCACTTAGGACAGTTGTGGCCTGATACCTCAATGTGTACTGGGCCTGATGGAAGAGAATTAAACCTGATAAGTCTGTAAACCTTGTTCTCTCATTTTATGTTGTGGCTAAATGGGACCATAATAACTGATCCAAGAGCTGTAACCATTGCATTGGTCAACAACTTTTCAAGTCTCTGAAGTGAACTGCTTTTGTACGACTGCGGCTAACAGGAGACCTTTGGACGTGATTACAGTTCATGCAGAAGGAAAGTGTGCAGTGTTCCTTACAGTCTCTCAGAGTTAAGAACAATGATCTTGACATGTGGGACACATTCTCTGTAGACAATAATCTTCCTTCTAGATACTGTATACAGTGCAGAATATCACAAAAAACATGTGATTACACTATATAACAATAAGGCAGGAGGGAGTTTTCCTCTATTAATTGGAGAAGGGCTCTGGAAGAGGAAGTATGATATCCAGAGGAAAGACTCATAGCCTTACAACCAATTTGTGTCCCATTACTTTAACTTTGTTCCTGTTCAAGTTATTAGAGAAGGTGATTAATGTCAGGCTGATATGATACTATACCTTGAACAAGGCAAGTTTCTTGGGGTAGTGGACACCGTGGGTGTCCAAGTTAAAGGATTTGCCAAATTGCCAATACTGTACTAAGAAACTCAGTATTTGCGTTCTTGGAGCTATAGTCATAAAATCATTTTAGTAATATTAATTTTATTTACCAACCTAACTCTTCTATATAGTCACTATGCAGGTTGAAATATTTGCATCATCTTAAAACCATCTTTATTATGCCAGCATCAAAGAAATCCAAACCTAGGATTTGTGAATGCAGTACAAAGACTAAATTTCTATGAAGCAAGTACAGACAAATGTGTTTAATTGCTAAAATGTCTAAACTTCGCTGGTGACAAATTTGGAACTACTGTTCCAGTAAATTGCAGTCTTTGACATCTTGCATTGTTGCTTTCTGGTCATAATTTGGTTATAAATTATGACCAGAAAGCAACAATGCAAGATGTCAAAGACTGGTTATAGTCTTTGACATCTTGTTACTTTCTGATCACAATTTATATCTAGCCTTTGACATCTTGTTACTTTTTGACCACAATTTATATCCAGTTTTTGACATCTTGTTATTTTCTGATCACAATTTATATGCAGACTTTGATGTCTTGTTACTTTCTGATCACAATTTATACATATTAATACTTGAATTATTCATTCCAGAACACTGGCTCCTGTTGACCTTTTTGGTACAGAATGCCTTGGCATTTTTAGCAAAGAGCCGAGCAAGGAAAGGAAAAGTATGGCAGAGGCCGCGCCTTTGTTACCCGTATGGGAGACTACACACCAGCGGGAGGTACAGCAGTCTGTGTCTCACCCACCTGAAAATGCTTTTGTTGAAATGATACAGTGGACAAAGCAAGGCAAATTATGGACATTCCCCATTGATAATGAAGTTGGTAAGATTTCATTTTTTATTTGTTTTAATTTCATAGCATCCTTTCATCAAATTGTTCCATTTAAGAACTAATATATTGAGGTAAGGTGTTTCATAATTGTTTCTTGTTATATAGCACCTGTGTAACACAGCTCACTTATCCATATAATAGTAATACCAAAGGTACAGGGTACTCCCAAGCAAACATTTAGGGTGTTTGCGTGAAAGTATCAAGTGTACAGGTTCCAACCCTCCTCATGGCTGCTCCTGATTTTCTTTTCGATACATCACGTTAATGTGACTTCATTGTAAGTGGTAACACCCATTGTGTCTGTCTACTCTCTTCCTACCAACTTTGTACTATAGTTTATTATATTGTTTGATTTTCTTCATTCATATTTCTTAAGCATTCCATCCTCAAATAGTTATTTTTTATCAGTTGCTCTGTGTTTGAGTCTTCATCATTTATATGTATACATTTAAGGTAAGGTGCTGGTTTTTAGCTAGCTCTTTCTTATTTTGTCGTAAGTAAATAAGAAATATGCTTAATGGCTTTGTAAATTTCTATTATATTTTCTGAAAGAGCAGTTTATCTATAAAATAGCATCACAATCATGTTTATAGATGCATTTATTGAGATATTAACTTAAATACTATGTAATTAATACTGTATTTTGACCCAGTCCAAGAGATGGGCTTTCTTTGCACCAATGGTCAGTCCAGTAAGCTATATTGGCCCTTTTGAAGAGAAGATTGACCAATCTAACATGGGTATTATATTTTGCATTGTACTGGTATCACAATTTTTGTTTCTGGGTAGTAAGTTTAATTACCTAATTGCTTATGCCTAAAAAGTGTAAAAATGGCTATTATTCCTCTCAAGCTTAGGTTTTGTGACCAGGATAACAATACTTTGAAATTTATCTCTTTCCAATGAGAAAAATGGGTAAATTTGTATTTTTTATTTACAAAGTCAGAAAGACATAAAAATTAATGTGTATATATATTATACAAAAGTTATCCAACATGACCACAAGAGATTTAGAAGCGAGTAGTTTTCAAGATTTATGATTACACTGTAAATCACTTTCACAAATCAGTCTCCAATCATGTTCTCATTATGCTGTCTTTGATGCTGCTGTTCCAAGGCCAGCGTAGCCTGGTGGAGGCTCTTCCCCTTGCTCCTCTGATTACGCTTCCATGTTCTTGAATTTATCAAGACGAGCGTCACAGATGCGGACTTTGAGGGACATCCTGCAGCCCATTGTGCTGTAGCTCTTCACCAGCTCCACAGTTTTTGGCTTTGTGATTGCCCAAGGAAACCCCAAACCACTGCAATAAAGCTGTTATTAATGGCTTTCTCCTTCCTAGTGATATTCTTGGAAAATTCCTAGGAACACCAGGATCTTTTTGTTTTTATCTATGATCCAACTAAGACACCGGTTTTTACCTTTTCCTCGGACAGCTTAGGGAAGAAGTCTTGAAGGTACAGTACTTGAAGGCTGTCAATTCCTTATCTAGTGCTATGCCAAATTGTTTCAGTTTGATGTGCAGTGGTGGTAACAGCACCTTCCCAGGTTCCACCAGTGGCTCCCACTTGATGCAGTTCCTTCCCCACAGAGAATTTAGTCTGCTGTGGTCAGTCCCACCTGTGGTAGTGTGCCTTGGTGTTCCTACTGTCCTAAAGGCTAAGATAGCAGGGAAACTTAGTAAAGCCACCTTGGAGAGCCACCCCTTTTGAAGTCTCTGATGATTGCCCAGTCATACTCATTATTCTTCAAAGCATCCAGCAAGGGCTGGAAAATTACTGCAAGTTGATAGATCAATTCAGTGCCAAGTAATGTTTTGGAAATGGTAAATTTCATAATATCATTGTCCTAGTCATAAAATAAAGTTTTGTGGGAAATAATATGTACAGTATATTCTATACTTTTGTGACATCAGCAATTAGACAACACTTAATACCCAGGGGTTCTGACTTCCAGGACAAGTGTGTGTCTTGCTTTCCAAATGTCCCTCGCGGTCACTTGTCCCTCGAAAGACTTCTTGGTGAATCGGATACTTTTGATATCGTTCCCCTTATGCGTTTCTGTTCTCGTATTGGCATCGTTGGTGATATTTAGCACCTTCTGATTGTTCCGCTCATTTCACGGTGCTACGTAGCCTTCTTGGTTTAGTGCCTTCTTTTGATAATTATTTAATACCCAGGGGAAATAATTTTACACATTGAGTTATCTTGTATTGAAATATTCATCTATGATCATCCATTGTCTAATTACTGGGGTGTTGAAGTTGTCTCTTGAGGCTCTCAGGACTTGGTTCAGTGGTCAGGTCACCTGCTGACACACTGCAATATGTTAATATAAAAAACAAGAATATATGTAACTGCAGAAGGCCTGTAGGCCAATAAGAGGAAGCACCTATTGAAACACCTTTGAAAAGATTACCTAGTTAAAGCTCAGGAACATAATATTCTATATTAACTATTAAAGTTGAAGAATAATGATCCAAAACTGTCCATCTTTTTGTGTTTTAGGTTTTCCAATCTATGCAGATCTGATCTATGCTGCCTTAATTCCTAATAATGAGCTTTACAAATATTTGGGATTGACAGTTTTTTCTAATCAGACATGGTTGAATTTTTGAAACAAATGGTTTTGTTTGATATATTTTCAGTATTTGCACATAAAAACTAATGTATTTAAAGACTTTAGAATAAAACTAACTTTTGTCTTTTTCATCCTATCCCACTCAAACTCCTGGTAATAAATATGAAAGAGATAATTAAATTTTAATTGCTTGTAGGCCTTGAGGAGGAGAAGAGTGTTGGATTCCACGAGCATGTCTTCTTGGAGCGTCACCTAGAGGGCTGGTGTCCACCGCGCGGACCCATCAGAAACTTCATGGAATTAGTGTGCACCGGACTTTCCAAAAATCCTTACATCACTGTGGAGCGTAAGCACGCGCACATACAGTGGTATAAGAACTATTTTGCAGAAAAGGAACAGTTGCTGAAGGAACTTGGAGCAATAGAATCTTCTCCTAAACTTGGTAAAGAAAACACCGTATGAAACTGGAAGAGTTTTTCATACATAGGATATTGTTAGTACTGTACTAAATATAAATATTCTGCAGTTTAGGAGAATAACTTTGCTTAATCAGAGAGGGAACACTTGTGTGCACCAAGCAATTGTTCAGTACCACTGGAAGTTGTGAAGGCTGGCTGGTATTGGCTAATTTGAAAAAACTTGACTGTCATCAGTTCCTCCACTTGTATATTCTTTATTCTATGATGAGTCTAATGAAAGTACTAGTATGCTGATTATTTGTTTTCAGCAAAGAAATAATTGATTAAAATGGACTAATGGTTCAGAATCAATGACAAAACAATGGTAATACATAATATGGTGGGTACGGCAACTTGTTTAGTGTAAACAGCTTCTATTATCATTGTAAATTTGTGTAAATAATAACTGTTATAGATAGTCTGTTTCTTTTAATACTGCTATTAAAAATTATATAGCCTTTTTAGAGATGTGCTCATATATTGAAGCTCTTGAAAATAATTAAAGTGGCCTCCCTTATATAAATTCGAGGAGCACTGCTTATTACAGTGGTCTAGTCTTTGACTCACAACTGAGGATCCCAGGTTTGATTCCATGGCAGGACAGAAATGATAGGGAATTTTTCCTTCCACCTGATGCCTCTGTTCACCTAACAGTAAATAGGCATTTGTTAGGCAACTGTTGTGGGCGGCATCTGGGAAAGGTTAGTAGGTGACCTAGGAAAACGTCGATAAGCCCAAGTACAGGTTGCCTGTCCCCGACAACAGGAATGAAATTGACAAAAAATTTGTCATGCTCGATATTCCATATTTAGCTACTCTGCTAAATAATGTTTCCTCTAAGGCATAGAGAAAATACCTAAAATACTCAAGAACTGCAGGCACGGAATAAATATTTTGTGTCCTGAATGCAAGATATATTTTGCATATACAGTGTATACTCCTTTACTGTATAACTGGTCAGAGACTGGGCTGTGGGGACATTGATCCTTGTAAATATAAGGTAAACATTAAAAAAAAGTTAAAGAAATGCCTTGAACAGACATACTGTACTATACAATACACTATGTAGTTGGGTCATCAGTTTAAAACAAATATTATTGTACTTTTGCATGCTGCAGAAGTACAGTAAATACATGTGCATGGGATATCTAAACCTAATTACAAACAAGTAAAACTTTTGATTTAAAAGATACTTTAGAGTACTCTATTACAATGTCATTGGTGCATTCATTATAATTATACTACTATGGTGTTGTTATACCAGATGTTTTACTGAGTGGATTCTAGCAGAGATCCTTTACTGCTAGAATCCACTCAGTAAAACATCTAAACTACTGGGACCAACTAAAGAACCTAAATCTGTATTCTCTTGAGTACAGGCGGGAGAGATACATAATTTATACGTGGAAAATATTAGAGGGGCTGGTCCCAAACCTGCACACAGAAATAACATCACATGAGACCAGGAGGCATGGCAGGATATGCAGAATACCCCTGTTGAAAAGCAGAGGTGCAATAGGTACTCTGAGAGAGAACTCTATCAACATCAGAGGCCCCGAGACTGTTCAACATGCTTCCACTACACATAAGGGGCATAACTGGCCGACCCCTTACAGTGTTCAAGAAAGAACTGGATAAGCACCTCCAAAGGATACCTGATCAACCAGGCTGTGAGCAGACACGTCAAGCAGCCTGGTTCACCAGTCCAGCAACGAGGAGGCCTGGTCGATGACCGGGCTGCGGGGACACTAAGCTCCGGAAACACTTCAAGGTAAGGATGGTAGTATATACCGAATGAGTACCAGTACTTGTACTTACATTGGACTTACAGCCCAAATATTATCACAATAATAATAAAAACTTCAACTTTATGCAGTGGGGAGGCAACTGCTAAGCAAATTGGATAGCAGTGTAGAGAATAATGAGATGATTGTTATTAAAGGATAATAAGAAAAAACATGTATGGTACATATATTGTTACGTGTATGGTACTATATGGGCATGAGAATGGTACTTATATGGGCATGAGAATGGTACTTATATGGTCATATGTATAGTAATTAACTCAGCTCGTCTTCCTAAGGTTCCCAACGTCAAGAAAAGGTCAATTTAAGGTGTCCTCTCCTAACCTACCAGAGGACCCAAATCAGAAAACGGGACAGTACGTCATTTTGGCGACCAGCTTACATTTTCTGCCACACAGCCTTTTGCCAGGAAAGAATCGCAGTTCGGGCGAAATCGTCATTTTTCTCAAAACTCAAAATCAAAACTAGCCATAGAATCGCTTTGAAAATGGTACCATTGTGTTTACCACAGCAATTTATATTTCTTTCTGTAAAGGCTTTCTTTGCTAATTTTCAATATTAAGGCCTTTACACCCATATTTACCGAGATACGGCCGTCTCAAATATAAAAAATTTCATCGTGTTTTCTCAACATATTATTAAGAAAAATTTGTTGAAAAACATGTAATAATAGCAATAAAGAGCTGAATAAAAAATGGGTAATGAAAATGTAGTAATTTCTATAATATTCCTTTACTTAGAGAGTATTTTGAATGGTACTTATATGCGTATATGTATGGTACTTATAACAGCATATGTATGGTACTTATAACAGCATATGTATGGTACTTATAACTGCATATGTATGGTACTTATAAGGCATATGTATGTATTATAACGTATGTATGGTACTTATATATATGTGTTATAATGTGTGGTACTTATAATAGGAAATATATGGTACTTATAATGGCATATGTGTGGTACTTATAATAGCAAATGTATGGTACCTATAATGGCATATGTATGGTACTTATAAAGTCATAAGTACGGTACTTATAAAGACATACGTATGGTTCTTATAAAGACATGTATGATACTTGTAATGGCATATGTATGGCACTTATAATGGCATATGTATGGTACTTATAATGACATCATATGGTACTTATAAAGACATATGATGGTCCTTATAAAGCCATATGTATAGTGCTCATAAAGCGATGAAAAGTACTGAACTTATAAAGACATGTATGATACTTATATTGGCATATGTATGGTACTTATAAAGGCATATGTATGGTACACACATATATGATACTTACAAGGACATATCTATGGTACTTAGAAGAGCATATGTATGGTACTTATATGGGCATATCAATGGTACTTACACGAGCCTATGTATGGAACTTATATGGCCATTTTATGGTCATGTGTATGGTACATATATTGTTACGTGCATGGTACAAATATGGGCACGAGAATGGTACTTTTATGGTCATACGTATAGTACTTAACTCAGCCCGTCCTCGTAAGGTTCCCAACGTCAAGAAAAGGTCAATTTAAGGTGTCCTCTCCTAACCTACCAAAGGACTCAAATCAGAAAACGGGACAGTAGGTCACTTTGGCGACCAGCTTACATTTTCTGCCACACAGCCTTTTGCCTGGAAAGAATCGCAGCCCAGGCGAAATCGTCATTTTTCTCAAAACTCAAAATCAAAACTAGCCATAGAATCGCTTTGAAAATGGTACCATTGTGTTCACCACAGCAATTTACATTTCTTTCTATAAAGGCTTTCTTTGCTAATTTTCAATATTAAGGCCTTTACACCAATATTTACCGAGATACGGCCATCTCAAATATAAAAAATTTCATCGTGTTTTCTCAACATATTATTAAGAAAAATTTGTTGAAAAACATGTAATAATAATAATAACGAGCTGAATAAAAAATGGGTAATGAAAATTAAGTAATTTTTATAATATTCCTTTACTTAGAGAGTATTTTGAATGGTACTTATATGGGCATATGTATGGTACTTATAACAGCATATGTATGTATGGTACTTATAACAGCATATGTATGGTACTTATAACTGCATATGTATGGTACTTATATGGCATATGTATCGTGCTTATAATGGTATACGTGTGGTACTTATAATAGGAAATATATGGTACTTATAATGCCATATGTGTGGTACTTATAATAGCAAATGTATGGTACCTATAATGGCATATGTATGGTACTTATAAAGTCATAAGTACGGTACTTGTAAAGACATACGTACGGTTCTTATAAAGACATGTATGATACTTGTAATGGCATGTGTATGGCATTATAATGGCATATGTATGGTACTTATAATGACATCATATGGTACTTATAAAGACATATGATGGTCCTTATAAAGCCATATGTATAGTACTCATAAAGCGATGAAAAGTACTGAACTTATAAAGACATGTATGATACTTATATTGGCATATGTATGGTACTTATAAAGGCATATGTATGGTACACACATATATGATACTTACAAGGACATATCTATGGTACTTAGAAGAGCATATGTATGATACTTATATGGGCATATCAATGGTACTTACACGAGCCTATGTATAATACTTATATGGCCATTTTATGGTCATGTGTATGGTACATATATTGTTACGTGTATGGTACTTATATGGGCATGAGAATGGTACTTATATGGTCATATGTATAGTACTTAACTCAGCCCGTCCTCCTAAGGTTCCCAACGTCAAGAAAAGGTCAATTTAAGGTGTCCTCTCCTAACCTACCAGAGGACCCAAATCAGAAAACGGGACAGTACGTCACTTTGGCGACCAGCTTACATTTTCTGCCACACAGCCTTTTGCCAGGAAAGAATCGCAGCCCGGGCGAAATCGTCATTTTTCTCAAAACTCAAAATCAAAACTAGCCATAGAATCGCTTTGAAAATGGTACCATTGTGTTTACCACAGCAATTTACATTTCTTTCTGTAAAGGCTTTCTTTGCTAATTTTCAATATTAAGGCCTTTACACCAATATTTACCGAGATACGGCCATCTCAAATATCAAAAATTTCATCGTGTTTTCTCAACATATTATTAAGAAAAATTTGTTGAAAAACATGTAATAATAATAATAAAGAGCTGAATAAAAAATGGGTAATGAAAATTAAGTAATTTCTATAATATTCCTTTACTTAGAGAGTATTTTGAATGGTACTTATATGGGCATATGTATGGTACTTATAACAGCATTTGTATGGTACTTATAACAGCATATGTATGGTACTTATATGGGTACTTATAACAGCATATGTATGGTACTTATAACTGCATATGTATGGTACTTATATGGCATATGTATCGTGCTTATAATGGTATACGTGTGGTACTTATAATAGGAAATATATGGTACTTATAATGGCATATGTGTGGTACTTATAATAGCAAATGTATGGTACCTATAATGGCATATGTATGGTACTTATAAAGTCATAAGTACGGTACTTGTAAAGACATACGTATGGTTCTTATAAAGACATGTATGATACTTGTAATGGCATATGTATGGCACTTATAATGGCATATGTATGGTACTTATAATGACATCATA